GCGAACAACACGTACGACGATTTCTGCCGAGCACCGCGAGACATTGACCGCGGGAAAACACAAAGGTCGGCTCCTGTGTCGACCAAAAATTGCGTTTTCGACACAAAGTCCGTCACGAACAGACGGCGTAGCGTCGGGCAGGCGTCATTCGCCGTCATTAACGACTGCCCAAGTCGTTTCCCGGTGCGCCATTCCAGGTGCAAGGCGGGATGCAACGATGGGCCTTATTCCCCCACCGCCAGTGGTAAAAGCACATCCCCTGTCTTACCTCGGTACGACGCCGAGAACTGGGGCGTTGGTGCGGCTGTTGATGCTCCGGGGGTGGCGGACGGTTCCTCTCGTGACCCGAGTATCGTCCCTCGCTCCTTAACCCTTGCCGCATCGCGGCGAGCTCTTGTCTGATCGACAAGGCATACTGGGCCATCATAGAATCTATGATAGCCTCCATGGCGGAGGTTACACTACCCGTGCCGACGGCCGACGGAACACACACCGATGCACTACCGGTGTCGCGAGACATTGTCACTAATCGTGTCCAATAAATTAAAAAATGTCTATAGTTCACAAAAAACTTAACCTATGGCTACACTACACTTAATCACTAAACAAGCGTCTATTTGCGCGTCACCCGCGTACACTACAATTGTTTTTACGACGTTGATCACGTCGGGGTCACCAATTAATTGAGGGGGCTGGAGGTTCAAGTGACAAACCTCAATCTACCCCAACAATTATTAAAGAGTTTATTTCGCGGGTGTCGGGGGTGTAGCCACACGTAGGTAAAATCGACACTATAACTGGCTTCGCAAACGCGCGACGTCTTAGCCAGACTGAGGTCTAAAATAGACTGGGGGTCTTTCTTCTCACGTCCCCTGAATATATACAATTTCTTACCCTAATAGCAAAGGTAGAGAAAAAGAGACAGGACAGAAAGACGGAAAAACGAAACTGGAAAATACTCAGTATAGGAAAAGTTTAGCGAAAGCGAGTCATAAAAGTCAAGAGGCTCGCCGGGCCCGGATCAGGGTGGTCCGAGGCCCAGGCGAAACCTTGAGGGAAAACAGACGCCTCGCACGGCTCTGGTCGCCAAGTGTTTAACAGGACGACTAGGCTCGCACGAGACCCTGGGAAAATGGAAAAATAGAAAGCTTAAAACTATCCTTACATTCCATTCCCATTCATACTCTGGCAAGGGCGTAGTGGCTATACAATGGCCGCTACAATACCATGAAATTATGTTATAAAGTATTAAAAAAGGTGAAATTTTTTTAAAAATGTAAGAATTAAAAATTTTAACTATCTCCTTACACGAATTCCGTTATAAAAGGAAATGTGAAGGATCATTTTTTACTTTAAACCTATAAAAACAGTTTATAGATATAAATTTAAAAAAATATGTTTAAAAATGAAAAAGAAAAAAATCCAACCCCTTGCGGCACCTCAAAAATTGTTTTGACAGAAACTAACTTTTACAGGCTTAATCTGAAAGCCTAAAGGCAACTTTTTTTCACTATTAGAAAACAGTCACACAATTTTCATTTTTTCGTTCCACCCTACTCTTTAACCGTTTAAGTGCCAAGCGGCGCGATCGAGCTTCTCTTATTTTATGTCCAAAAGGGCTGCGAAGCCGACGATCACAACACGCTCGGTTTTTGTCGACGTGTGACTTTACTGTTACCATTCAGCTTTAGATAAATTAAGGGGTAATGCCACTCTAGCGCCCGGAAAAACAGCCTAATTTTGAGAATTTTTTATGCGAATATAGTAAATGGAATACAAAATCTGTTTGAAGGCCTTTCTTGTACATACTTTGAAGTATGATCACAATTTTTTTTAAGTTTTTTTAATACAAAATGGCGACGGTACAGCTCCGCAAAGGAAGCTTCTTCACACGGATAGTGTTCCGCGGCCGGAAAAATTTCTCCTTCAATTTTTGACCTGGAACAAAAAACAATCGGTTTTTGAATTCTATATAAGATTAGCTCGGGAAGTACATACGGAAATTAAAAAATACCGTTTTCTGTAAGAATGGTGCATGATGGAAGAAAAAGTTTCATATTCAAGTAAACATTACGTGAAAAATTGTTCATAACAAAAAAAGTTTACAACGACACGCAAAATCCGTACGTACTTCCCTAGATAATATAATTTTGAAAGTACAGTTAAAATTTCAAGTGAATCAGTGAAGATCTGTTCAAGTTATGTTTCCGGCCAGTTTGAAAAATGCAGTTTTGAGAAAAACGCCTTTAAAGCCTTACGTATCATTTTTCGATAGAATTTTTTATTTACCTCTAGTCTGCGATGCCTGCACCATACAATTGGCCTTCTCAATTGATGCTCTCCTCCTCTTCTTCCTTTCTGGCTGATTTTAAAGACAGTCGAGCCTCTTTTGCAGCATCAGTCAGCGATCTCTCCGAAAACTTGATGCGGCGCGCGTCAGCCTCCGCGCAGTAATTGTAGCAGTTGGGCCCGATTGTGATGCCTAATACCTCCATTCTGTATACTTTTCAGTGTCACTTCTTTTATTCCAAAACTCGCAAGCTTTACAATATTTAGATTTCACACCAATATCAATCACTTTTCCAGTAAACCATCCGATAAGCGACACTACTCCATACAGAGATGAAAAGCCACGTTTCCTCCATGTTCCATCGTCTGAGATAGTTAGACCATTCTTTTCGTTATTTTCAATAGACTTAGCCTTCTCCTCTTGTGCCGCTTTCTTCATACTTTCTTGACAAACAGCTTCTGTTCCGACAGAAATCGTGCGGACAACTTTATCGTAAAACGAGTGAAAAATCGGGCGTTGGAGGTCTATGAAGGCGCAAAACTTTACTATTCCATTTACACCAATTCCTAATAACCGCATAGCAAGGATAATTCTGCGATTAATTTCATATCCTTTATCAATAAATGGGCAACTCGAAATGAAGGTTTGTTCACAATTCTCACAAGATATGACGATTTTAAATCCTAAGCCACGCTTGCCTGTTTCGGTAAATTTCACATTTGATTTGCACGTTTTACACACTACAACTTCTGAAATAGCAGAAAAAACAGCGATAAAGTTCAATAGACGGTAACCGAATGCTTCGTCGACTTCAACGTTGTAACAATCTTCGGACAGTTTCAGTTTTTTGGCAGATGTGCTAACGCTTTCGAGCTGCGGCGACTCCATTTCAAATCGATTCAACGGTCGTCTCTTTGATATATTCGATCAGTTGCTTTTTGTTGAATCGTTGTATGAATTTCATTGCTCGGTTCGTTATTTGTGGTGCGTCGCGAAACATGTCGTTTCATTTATAATAGCAATTCAGCGTTTGAACTGATGCTACACAAATATATTTGGGTTTTATTTACTCACTTGTTTTTTAATCACTTGTGCCATCTAGGTCTCCAATTTGAAGCATAGAATATATTAGCATGAACAGATAATTCGATTCCTTTATTATTCCAGGCAGTATAGTCATAAAAGCAGCGCGTCACACAAACGCTCTTGGAAGGAGCTCGGAGCGCGCTGCAACGTGTTTAGCCACATGTCACGGAATAAGCACTAAAAACATTTTCCCCCTTATAAAATTTATTGTGCCTTATTTCTAAGACCCTAAGCCATCATTTAAGACAAAAAAAATTTTTAGCATTTTTTTAAGATTCTAGAGTGGCATTACCCCTTAAGACAAAATTGGAATAATATTACAGTTTGTAGACGTACTTGTTTTTTTCTTATAAACAACCATTACTATAATAATATAATGAACTAAATAATGTAAAATAGAGTAAAAAAACAATAATGAAATATATGTTTATTTCATGAAATAGCTAATAAAAAAACTTTTTTTTGATGATAAAAAAGAATTTTAGTTTGATTTTTACATATTGATGCAAATATTATTAAAATCTACAACAATGGTTAGCAAAGCACAATGGATGTACATATATGTATAGTAGGTTTATCCTTTTGATCTTTAATTTATCTTGAGGAAATAATAACCAAACTGAGTTTCACTGTAAACACAAGAAACAACATTAAAAGCTATTATTCCACAAAGATTCCACTAATCAATTAGATTTTGTGGTGCCGCGAAATCGGGAAGAGATGGAACATTGTTCAGCATCTCCGAATCCGAATGCTATCCCAAGTTTTGCATCGTAATCTGTTATATCCGTCATTGAAAATCAATGGACTGACGCATCAACTTGCCAGTCGTCAGCGAACTGTACGTATTGCGCAGGTGTTCCATTTCCATGCTCAAGATCGACTTCAACATTAAAGCCTTTCTTGTAGTTGAGTGATCTCACAATCTTCTGGAAGGCACGATACTCATAATCAGTCCACTTGATCTTTTCGATGCCGGCGTACAGTGGTCCGAATCAGAAAATTTAGTGACATTTGAATATAACTTTTAAACCGTAAGAGATATCAACACGAAATTTGGGATCAATAATATATTAACATTATGTTACAAATAGGTGAAAGAAAAAATCATAAAAAATTATTTTAGTAATATTTACTTTGTATTTGTTATTACATACTTCATGTTACATAATTATTAATTCTTTAGCTTCTTGATCTAAATTTCTAATTTTCTTTGTACGTGATTTTATCCGTATATTAGATATACAGTAGAACCTCGGTTATCCGAACCTCATTTATCCGAACGAAATATTGCTGAACCTCAGATATACAGACTCGTGACTGAGCCTCTATTATCCGGACAGTGGTCGCGCGCCTCTCAGTTATACGAACCCGTATTCTTAGTTATACGAACGCGTATTTTTAGTTAAACGAACGCGCATTCTTATACAAATGCAATATGTAATGGGAGCTAACATTTGATACAAGATGAAACGTAATTTAATACAATTAATAAATTTGTAGATCATTTTTACATATTGTTCACAATTTATTTTAAAACATTTATATGTATGTACATAGACAAAACAATTAGGTCTTAATAGCATAAGGGAAAATAATTGATAACAATAAATATAATTAGTTTTTATCCGTTCGCAATTTTTGAACATGCAAGTTCTTTTAAGTTTTGGAGACATTTTAATTCACACTCAGCAATATTCGATTCTGGCTGTGCTTTGAACCATTTTATTGCAGTCTTAAAAGCAGCTAGTGCATCGGCATCGGTGGGAACTTCTTCATTGATCGCTAATTGTGATTCTTCATCATCAATTACTTCCTCTATTCCGTCAGTTGTTGCATTGTGTCCTGTAAATTTGTCTACTAGTTCTTCGTCAGTTAAAATTTGGAAGCCGTGATCGTTTTTATCTCTTCCAAGCCATTCGTTGGTATCTTCAATTTCATTATCAGTATAACACGGAATGGTTCTTGCAACCTGGTGAATATTTAAAATTTCTTCTTCATCGTCCCTGCTTCTTCTTTCGGGCACCTCCACTTCGTTGTCACGAAGGAGTTTTCTCCATGCGTTGCGAAGATTGTCCCGTGTCAGCGAGTTCCATGCTTCATTTATTATATTGCAACAATCCTTCAATGTTATATGCTTGACAAACTGAACTACATTTTGATTCTCTTCAAGCAGTATTTTTGTAAGTAAATTTTTACGATATAATCTTTTGGTCTTCTCGATAACGCCCTGATCCATTGGTTGGATTAATGACGTTACATTTGCCGGGAAAAATATAACACGGAACATTTCATCGGTCAATGTATTCAATTCTGCTACAGAATGTGATGGAGCGTTATCCAGTAGGAGTAACACTTTTCCTTTATTCCCTGTGGTTTCCTGATGCCGTTTAACCGCTGGAATAAAATCGGAAAGATACCAGGCTTTGAAAAGTTCCGTATTCATCCATCCATTTTTTTGTGCCTTATAATTGACCGGAAGATTACTAACATGCTTAAAGCACCGGGGTTTCGCATATTTCCCTATCAAAAGTAACGGGAGTTTATGTGTTCCCGTGGCGTTGGAACAAACCATAATTGTCACCCGATCTTTTGAAATCTTATGACCAGGTGCGGTAGTTTCTGCACTTGAAGCAAGTGATTTTCGGGGCAATGATCTCCAGTACAAGCCAGTTTCATCGGCATTCTATAGACAGTCTTCCGAATATTTATGCTCTCCTATGAAGTCTGATAAAAATTTCTTAAATATTTCAGCAGCTTCCATGTCCGCTGAGAGCTTTCCCCCTTGAATATTCAATAATCGTATCCCATGGCGTTTTTTTAAATTTTCCAGCCACCCATTACTGGCCCTGAATTGTCATTGCCTCCCATCTTTGAATTCAACTGCAATGCTTTTTCGCATAAAATTGGACCGCTGATGGGTGTCCCTATGACACGCTGTTGCGAGAACCATCGGAAAATTGCACTATCCAAATTACGATTCTCAGCAGCCGACATCACTTTTTTCTTAGTTGCATTTCTATTGTTTATGAGTATATTTTCGCGGTACCGTAAAATCTTATCTTCGTTTGATTTTAATCCGAATATTGTTGAGTTTCCGATGTTATACTCCTTTGCTAACGCAGATCCCGATTCACCGTTTCTCATCCGTGTTAAAATATTACATTTGTCGTCGAGACTTAGCACCACTCTTTTCCTTTTTAAAGTCTTGTCACACGACATTATTGAAAAAATATAAACGTACACTTTTCACACTTTTCTCCTCTTGGTGTTGTCACTTTGAATTTTTGACTTAATCTCCCTTCGTGTCGAGGTTACCAAAAAAAAGTAACCTCGCAATGGGCGTGACCAAGGTCAGGAAAAGAAAAATTTTTAATAATTTTTGCGAGCCCGGGGTTTTCCGCGAGGCGGTTACGGGCCCAGGTCAGCGGTTGGTGCCCAGATATGTCATGCGGTACCTGAGTCGCCATAAAACACCTGGCACCGGTTGTCGATGTTATTGCAGGTAGTAAAGTCATGATTTGGAAATGAATTTATTAATTAAATAGTGGTCTTAGGGGCACTAGGTTGTAAGCAAAAAACCTTGACTGTTTATGAATGTTTAGAGGCTGTGACTCTACATCCGCTGGCTTTATGAGTTTACTGTTGCGCTGTAACACTCGCGTTACCGTGTCGTAACATTCGAACTTCAGTTATTCGACCGTCAGCCCCTCTTATCCGAATGACTAAAAACACGTTGGAAGGGATAAGTACCTGAACCTCTATTATCGGACCACCTCGGTTATCCGAACTGCCTTGTCCTCCGACGTGGTCGGATAAACGAGGTTCTACTGTATAAGGATCGGACGTTAGGAGTAGTCTAAGCAATATATCTTCATTTGCTAACGTTCGTGAACATTTTCGGGTATTTTTATATCTAATTGCTTTAAAATCTTTATGTTGGGCTTCTTGAGCTTCTTCAGAAGGCTGCCCAATTGGCAATAGTGCCCTTTGTATTATTTCTGCCCCATGTGTTAATAATTTATGTACCGAAGCCGGCATATAATACCACCAATAACATTGTATACAGGGTGTTCGGCCACCTCTAGCAAAAATTTTAATGAGCGATAGTAGAGGCCAAAATAAGACGAAAATCAAGAATACTAATTTGTTGATGGAAGCTTCGTTAAAAAGTTATTAACAATTAAATTCAAAAATTTCAAATCGTTCTGGAAAAATTATTTTCGGTTGCGGGGGTCAACTACAATCATTTTTGGTGAGTACACATACCTCCGAAATCCTATCTACTTTCGAGAAAAAAAATCGAGTAGGTGCTGGAATTTTTCGGCGAAAAAAAATTTTTCAAATCGTTTAAAAAAAATTATTTTCGGTTGCGGGGGTCAATTACAATCAGTTTTTGTCATTAGACATACCCACGAAATCCTGCCCACTTTCGAGAAAAAAAATAGAGAAGGTGTGAAATTATTCGAGAAAATTAAAAAATTGCAAATCGTTGTGGAAAAATTATTTTCGGTTGTAGGGTTCAATTACAGTCATTTTTGGTGAATAGACATACCCCCGAAATCTTGCGCATTTTTTAGAAAAAAATTCAGTAAGAGCGGCACTTTAAACGTTAATAACTTTTTAACGAAGCTTCCACCAACAAATTAGTATTCTTGATTTTTGTCTTATTTTGGCCTCTACTATCGCTCATTAAAATGTTTGCTAGAGGTGGCCGAACACCCTGTATAATGTCTTGCTGTATCTTTTGCGTATTGTTCGAATTTTTCAATGTGTATTTTGTAAGGAGATGAAATGACCTGTAGTAAAGAATGGAATTTTTTATAATTTGCTTACAATAATTATGGCTTTTTAAAATTTATTTGATACTAAAAGCAAGTATAGACTTGCAGAATACGTCATATAATTAGCTATAAAGTTTCAATATCTATTTATTAGTAAGAGTATTACCTGTAATATAATGTGAAATTTTTTAATTAATTCTACGTCAATTCCTATAATTTCAGCTGCAACTTGAGAATTTGAAAAAAACGACGAGCTGGGTTGCCATCGTTTGATGAACCCCAGCCTTGCTTCACATAATCTATATACAAACCCATCCTTTCTCTAAATTGGTTTTGTACATACATACTGCTTCTTTTTTGCCCTTTCTATTTTCATGTCTGCATTCAATGCGGTCCATTTTTTAAAAGATAAATTATAAGAAATGTGCAGCAAACATTCCATACATTTTATCCACGCATGGAGTGACGACAACCCAAACGTGTAATTACTACAGGCTTTATAATTAATTAGTTCTAAATTGTTCATCTCTGTAGGTTTAGCTTGGCAAATATAACATTTCATTGCAGATGTTGTATTTGTGATTGAATTGCATATTTTGTTGTCCACCATAGTTAACGTCATAATATATTCTATTTTTATATTATTTTTCATACTGAACTGATTTAAATTTTGAATTTGGTTGTTAATTTCTTTAATTTCCTCATCTATAACTTCTTTGCTTTCTTTAATAAAGCGAAATTGGATAGGTCTACAAAACCATGCAGAAGACGGTTGTGGATTTTCCCATACTATTTCCGAACTTAATTTATCTTCAATTTCCTAATGGAACAAAGCTAGAAATAAAAACAGTTTCATCATTTATTTCACCATGCTGAAGTTGTTTATATCTGGATTGACCAGATGCACCATCGCATCCCCATTTGCATGTAAGGATTAAATCTGTATTTTGTATGACTTTATTTAAACTTTGTATTATTCGTGAAACTGTATGATTTAATAAACTTTGTAAATTAATTTTTACTCCTAACTCTGATATTTTGATTGAATTCATTAGTGGGTAACAATTTCGTTTTTCTTCCAATAATTTAAAATAAGAGGGCCAAGAGTTGTTATTATATTATATTTTATCTGTTCGTTTCGCATCGTAATGTACTGAAATTTTGACAGATCTGCCATTACAGAAATACTCAAAGCCTTTTCCGGTGAAAACTTTTTTTCTTTGGGTATATATCCTTGTTTGTTCAAATCTTCAACAATTTTGTCGTATTGATCATTTTCTAAATGGTGAAGCAAGCGTGCTTTAGAATGCATCTCGTGTTTTCTCAAGCTCATTTTTGTTGCATACAGCAATTCCGATAAAGAAAAGTTATTAACTACAGATCGAGCTCTTCTCATTCCCTCTCTAACGCTGCATTGCAAGAAGGACTTGTTCCCTTTATACAGTGCGTAACAAAAAGTTGTACGCACCCACTTTTTTTCGATTATCTAACGAATGAGTTATGATCCATGGATAAAACTCTTATACAATAAAGAGCATTTAAAAACACACATTCTTATTATTTGTATCATCCAAATTGGAGCACACGTTCCCGAGTTGTGCAGCCGGAACAGTTTTCGGCTGGAACGAAAAGTTGTACGTACTTAATAAAAAATTAATTTAGTAATACATGAAACGCATTTTATTGATGGATACAGTGTTTTAATAATTAATGAGACCTCCTTTATTTTCTAATACTAAAAGGAGTCTCCTCGGAACGCTTTGGATCAGTCCTTTGAGGACTTCCGGTGTGATCACGTTCCAAGCGTCGGTTATTGCGTCCTGTAGGTCAGCAATGGTTTCGAATTGTCGATGATCCTTATACACATCTCTGGCTATAATTCCCCAAACATTCTCAATAATATTCAGGTCCGGACTTATAGCCGGCCACTCCAAAACCGCGATATTCCGGTCCGCGAAAAACTTTTGTGTCTCTTTCGAACGGTGAATAGCGGCATTATCTTGCTGAAAAGTATCTCCATCATCCATATGAGGCAAAAGGAATACTTCAAGAGTGCGAATGTAGTCCTTCCAAGCCTGTCGACCGCTTAGAAATGCCTTCCGCGATTTCTTCCCGAGCTTGAACGCGGCCCAAATCATATTATCAACCAAGGTAAGATTTTAATCCATTAAATTTTTATTTAATTCAGTTCTTAATCCGTAAGTAAGATAACACTTCCTCCACCAGCTTGCCGTCTGACCTTCCGGGGTTGTTCCTTCCTGGTATCCTGCCAGCAGTAATCCCATCTATCAGGCCCATCAAGATTGAACTTCTTTTCATCGGACCACCACACATTATTCCATTCGGACGTCCACGCATGGTATTTCCTTGCGAACTCCAACCTGGCTTCTTTATGATGCGGTTTCATTCTTGGTTTTCCGGTGATTTTCCGATATTTGATATTGGGATCTTCAACTAATCTTCTTCTAATAGTTGTATGGGATACCTCGTTTTTTAGTTCCGCGGAAATCCGGCGTGTAGACATCTTCCCGTTCGTGGCCAGCTTCTTGATCCTCCGAAGTGATCGCTCATCCAACTTTCTCGGACGCCCTGGAGACTTCTTCTTTCCATAATTTTCACGTAATCTGATGAGGTTTCTAATTATTCCATCAGATCTACCAAGTTCTCTTCCAATTTGTCTCATTGACTGTCCGCGACCGTACATTTCCCATGCACGGTTCTGCTCCTCCACGGATAATTTCGCACAACTTCCCATTGTTGTAGGATCAGAACTACGAGCGACGATATCGCAACGACAAAAGACGAGTGACGATATTGTAACGACAAAAGACGTTCGTCTATTTCCAGTCTGATTCTACAACAATGTTTTATTAAGTGCGTACAAGTTTTCGTTCCAGCCGAAAACTGTTCCGGCTGCACAACTCGGGAACGTGTGCTCCAATTTGGATGATACAAATAATAAGAATGTGTGTTTTTAAATGCTCTTTATTGTATAAAAGTTTCATCCATGGATCACAACTCGATCGTTAGATAATCGAAAAAAAATGGGTGCGTACAACTTTTTGTTACGCACTGTAAATGTATACGAAACCTGTGTTAGACAGACGCGTAGAATGGAATTAGAAATTAAGAAATACGCAGGGTATTCGTCTGTATGCTTTATTCCCGTTCTTTCAGCGTCGGAAAAACGAATGAGCCCGTCCTGGGCCTAGACCCTCGCCTTTGTGGTCAGCCTTCTCCCCCATCGGTAGGGGTGGGAGTGTTGACGGACGAAGGCCAGACGCGGTCCCTTGCCAGCGCCTCGGCTTGGGCCTCGCCTTTTCCCGACGCCTTACATTTCTATTAAAAAACAAGACTTTTCAACACAAAAAACTGCTTTTTAATTTAAAAAAAAAAGGAAAGTGATAATACTAAGAATCATTGGAACATTTTGAAGAA